TAATGTTTATGCATTTTTACCTAAGAATAGGTCCTAATCTTCCTTAATTGAGGTGACCAAAACTATCTCTAGTGTAACAGGATGAAACACTAGATTTTGAGGCCAGCGCCGCGGCTCACTAGGCTAATCCTCTGCCTTGCGGCGCCGGCACACCAGGTTCTAGTCCTGGTCGGGGCGCCGGATTCTGTCCCGGTTGCCCCTCTTCCAGGCCAGCTCTCTGCTGTGGCCAGGGAGTGCAGTGGAGGATGGCCCAAGTCCTTGGGCCCTGCACCCCATGGGAGACCAGGAGAAGTACCTGGCTCCTGCCATCGGATAAGTGCGGTGTGCCGGCCGCGGCGGCCATTGGAGGGTGAACCAACAGTAAAGGAAGACCTTTCTCTCTGTCTCTCTCTCTCACTGTCCACTCTGCCTGTGGGGAAAAAAAAAAAAAAAAAAAACACTAGATTTTGTAGCAAATACATCAACCAGAAAGAGTAAAACCCCATGGAAAATGAGAGAGCTGTGTCCCCGTGTCCCCAAATTCTGAGTAAAAACTATCAAAGCCCCCACCCCCAACCCCACCCCCACCCTGCCAGGAAATGAGCTCCAAGCAGCCTAAAGTGTAAAAATACTGAATTAAGATTTTTAACTTATGCCAAATACACATGGGGATATAATTTTCTATTAGAGTACAGCCAAGTTAAGTGCCTACTTAAAAATTTAAAAGGAACTGATTTTTTAAAAATTTACAATCTCCACAATTATCTGACATACAACAAAAATCAAAGCCTCAAGAAAATGTGATCAAAATTAAGAAAACAGTAATCAATCAGTACAAATTTTTTTTAATAAATAATTTTTTTTTTTTATTTTTTTATTTTTTTTTTGACAGAGTGGACAGTGAGAGAGAGAGACAGAGAGAAAGGTCTTCCTTTGCCATTGGTTCACCCTCCAATGGCCGCCGCGGCCGGCGCGCTGCAGCCGGCGCACTGCACTGTTCCGATGGCAGGAGCCAGGAGCCAGGTGCTTTTCCTGGTCTCCCATGGGGTGCAGGGTCCAAGCACCTGGGCCATCCTCCACTGCACTCCCTGGCCACAGCAGAGAGCTGGCCTGGAAGAGGGGCAACTGGGACAGAATCCGGCGCCCCAACCGGGACTAGAACCCGGTGTGCCGGCGCCGCTAGGCGGAGGATTAGCCTAGGCCAGTACAGACAAATTTTGAAAAACTCAGAAGTTACAATTAGCAGAGGAAACTTTTAAAGCAGTTATTGTAACTATTCTCAAAGATAAAGGAAAATATGTTCATAATACATGAAAAGATGGATATCATATCACAAAAGAAAGAAAAATTTCAGGAGCAAAGAGCAAATAAAATAGTAAAATGTATATTTAAGTCCAATTACATAAATTTTTAATATTCAGTGGGCTAAATACTCCAGTGAAAAACAGAAATTTTCAGAAGGATGTAGTAAAGTGAAATGTAATTAATGCTATCTACAAGAGAACAATTCTAAATTTTAAGACACAGATAGTTTGAAAGTAAATGAATAGAAAGACAATAAATGTCTTTAATTAATACAAGATTAAACAGACCTAAAGACAAAGAGGTATTACCAAAAATATGAACATTTCTTAATCGTTAAGGAAAAAATTTCTTAGAAAAATATGAAAATCCTAAATTTATATGTAAATAAAATGAACTTCAATGAACAGAAAACAAACATAACAGAATTAAAAGGAAAAATAATGACATAACCACAACTGTAGATTTTAATACCTCATTTAGCAATCAATATAATAACTACACAGAAGCAAAAGTGTAAATGTTCTGCGGGACATTATTGTCCATGGTATTATAATTGGTATCTTCAGACTGCTGGAAACATGGGTTACAAAATCAACCATCTTTTGAAGTTCACTTGGTGATGTGCTCACCAAGCCAGACCATATAAAAGGTCTCAATAAATTTAAAAAAGGGTAAAGTTGTACAAAAAATATTCTCTAACCACAATGATATAAAACATAAAATCAATAAAAATGAGATAACTAGGAAAAACACTAAATATTTGGTCAATTAAGAATACCATGGTAAACAATCAATGAGTAAAAGAAACAATCATAGGAAAAATGAGAAGGTATTTTGACTCAACAAAAATGAAAGATCAACAGAATTCATGAGACTCAGCCACAGAAAAGATTAGCAAGAAATTTATAGCTTGAAATATTTGTATCAAAAAAAGGAAAGCCAAAAATCAATAACCAAATTTGTCATTTCAAGGCCAAAAATGTAAAAAGAAATAAAAGGTAATTGCTTCCTTTATGGAGTTTGTCAAAATATTTCCATTTCAAAATGACTCATCAATTTTATCTTTTTATTAATTTTATAAGTGGTACAGATTATAGCCATCCTAACAGGAACTTTTATTAATAATAAATATGGCTCTAAATTTTTAAGACTATTGTTTTATTTTCAAAAAAAAAATTTAACAGACATAAAATTGTGCAAATATGGGGCACTATCTTATGGTCCATTACATAGAAACAGTGTATAACACTCAATATAAGTAAATATATTTTTAATATGGAGCCTTTAATACTTATTTATATTGAAATCATCCAAAATCCTATCTTCTAATATTTTATTAACAGAGAAATACGCAATACAATAAGTTCATTGACATGAGTCATTTTGTTAGTACACTGATGTGTCTATTTTTATCTTTTTAAAAAATGTTTAAGAACATTAAACTTTTTCTCTCCATTTAGCTACGACTTCCTTATTGATCACAACAACTTCAATACGTGTCTGACTTATATGAGTTCCTCAAAAAATAGTGTAACTAAAGATATGAGACATAGAATAACATAAACATAATTGATGGAGCAATGACATAAGCCTGAGCTTTCTCCCTTATTGCCCAAAATAGATAAACACTGGAATATATTCCTTGCCCTTGAAACTCAATTGGGTCTCACACCCTACTGCCTTCATTCCCCACCCCTTACAGACACCTGAAAGACCAGTTCTAGGAATTCCCCTTTGCCTGCCACTCCTTACCCCACCCCCATCCCCAGCCCTCCTAAAACATAAAAGGCCTGGCCCCTGGGAGTCCAGGCCTTCTGCCCCTTGTTCCATCAGTGTGAACGCAGGCAGTTGGTCACCCACCTCTACAGATTTATTTTCTCCAAATAAATTCGGTCTGGCTCTAAATTTGTTCACTGCCTCCTCTCTATTCTGTGCCTCTTTTCCTAACATTCTGGTGCCCCATGTGAGGAGGTACCAATCTGCAGCTCTTTTCCTAACAATAATGAAAATTTAAAAATATATAAATATATTGCATAATTTAAGATTTGTTATGGTGGGTCTGTTCAAGTTGAAATCTCAAACCTTAAATAGCTAGAGAAAAATATATTTCAAAATATAGGAATGCCTCAAGAACTAACTTTTTCTCTGATTTTTCCAAACACAAAGCCTACAAAGTTGAAACTTGGTGCTCCTATAAGCTCTTAGTAATGCTTTGGAAGTCTTAAAAATTCAAACAGACAATTTTGGAAGAAGATGAGTATCATCACTATCAAATTTATGGGTTTGCTACTGAGTCAAGTAAAAGATGGTTGTCAGAGGAAAAACAATTTTATTAAGAATATCTACTTGGCCGGCACCGCGGCTCACTAGGCTAATCCTCTGCCTTGCGGTGCCGGCACACCGGGTTCTAGTCCTGGTCGGGGCGTCGGATTCTGTCCCGGTTGCCCCTCTTCCAGGCCATCTCTCTGCTCTGGCCAGGGAGTGCAGTGGAGGATGGCCCAAAGTCCTTGGGCCCTGCACCCCATGGGAGACCAGGATAAGTACCTGGCTCCTGCCATCGGATCAGTGCAGTGCGCCGGCCTCAGCGCACCGGCCGTGGCGGCCATTGAAGGGTGAACCAGCGGCAAAGGAAGACCTTTCTCTCTGTCTCTTTCTCACTGTCCACTATGCCTGTCCAAAAAAAAAAAGAAAAAAGAATCTCTACTTAATGTAGAAAGTAATGTCTTTTAATCATTCTTATATTCATGCTTCAAAATATGTAAAATTTCAGAGCAATTGTCTTTCACATGATGTCAACAGTTAGGAATCAGTTTGAGTGAGGCTATCTTTTTATCTTCAAATAAATCCAGATATACGATCTTATTTAGAACATCACGTTTTGCCCTTTAAGGGAAGGAGTCAAAAGAAGTACTTCATTAAAAAAGAGCTGAAGACCCAAAGAGAGGATATACAGGCCAGGATGAGAGATGGAAGAGTGGTCCTACCTCTGGTACACCCCCTCCCACACATACTTTTACTCTCAGCACTAGCTGTGAGGCTCTGTCTTTCAATTTCCTCTCCAGCAGCATCCCGTCTGTCTGATGCCCAGGGTTTTGATCCAACGCCAGTGACCAGCTTGCCACTGATGTTAGTTGGAAGGTAAATAAAAAGAATGTGTTTCACAGGGAATAGACACTATTCCTTATCTTCAAACTCAAGGTTTAAAAGATCCATGCCCTTTTTGTATTAGGACAAAATCCATTCTTGCTGGGTTAAGAGTTATGACATTGTGCAAAATTGTCCACACTGTGCTTGCCAATTTTAGGCCAAGAAATAAGCTATTTTCATTTTGGAACTTATTAATGACTTCTGAAAGGTGTTTGAATTCATATACATAATTTTACAGCCACATAATTTATATTGCTGAGGCTTAAAAGAATCAAAGAAAGAAAATTATCTCAAGCTGAAAGCTTAACTACCATGTTTCAACCTGGAGGTACTTTTTAATCACAAACTCTAATGGATCTTTGACAATAATGTTAGGTACAAAGTTGCCTTAACTCAGGAGGGTAACTACTAAATGAAAGAGAACACAGCTAATTGCATGGTAATTGCTTTATATACAATACCTGAAACACAGTGTTAGTCCTTATGGAGGATGACAGATGGGTCATGATGCTTTTGCTCACATTAGCACTGCAATTGGCAAAGAGGAGTCAATTAATTCTTGCATTTCCATTTGAATCATTGCATCTTAGCATTTAACAGGCTTTTTCTTTTTATACCATTTTATGAAGTGTTTACCTCCTGCAAATTATAAACTCAGTAGGGATAACCACTTAAAAATAAATCCCAAGGAATATTCTGTGAGGTGCTGTTTTGTACTCAAGTTAACTATATTTATTGGGACCAGTATTGTGGCATCGTAGGTTAAGCTACTGCCTGCAACACCGGCATCCCTTATGGGCGCAGGTTCAAGTTCCTCTGCTCCACTTCTGACCTAGTAGCAGAAGACGGTCCAAGTATTTCAGCCCATGTCATCCACGTGGGACACCTAGACGAACCTCCAGGCTTCATTCTGGCCCAGTCCCAGCCACTGAGGCCACCTGGGAGTGAACATCCCCTAACACTTTGTCTGTGACTCTGCCCTTCAAATAAAATAAATCTTTTTTAAAGTGTAATTATTTAAGAAGCAGAAAGAGAGAGATAAGGACTTTCCATCTGCTAGTGCTTGTTCACTTCCTAAATGCCTATCATGGCCAGGGTTGGTCTAGGGCTGAAGCCAGAAACCAAGAATGCAAAACAGAACTTCCAGATGAGTGACAGGAACTCAACCACTTGAGCCATCATCACTACCCCCTAGAATCTGGATTGGTAAAAAGCAAAGTAAGGAGCAATAGCCGGGAATCAAACCCAGACAAGACACTACAGTGTGAGATGCAGGCCTCTTAACAGCTAGGCTAAGAACCCATGCTCCAACATTTCCTGTTTTTACTGTAGAAATCATATACCAAAATTTGTCATGATAACCATTTTTAAGGACAATTAAGTAGTATTAAGTATATGTACATCATTGCAAAACATCTTCATAACATTTTCATCTTATCTTGTAAATATATTTTTTAAATGTTCAATTTTAAAAAATAGACACTTTCTGCCCCTTCTCCCAGCCTCTGGTAACCACCTTTCAACTTTATGTTTTTCTGATTTTTGATTACTTAGGAAATCTCATTCAAATGAAATCACACAATGTTTTATTTTAGTGACTAGCTCATTTCCCTTGACATGATGTATGTGAAGTTCATTATGTTGACACATAATTGCAAAATTTTCTTCCATTTTTAGACATAATAACATACTCATGTATGTATACATCACACTTTATTTAATCATCACTGGACAGTTGAATTATTTCCACTTCTTGACCTAAGTGAATGCTGCTGTTATGAACATGGAATTGCAAATCTTTTGAGACTTTGCTTTCAATTCTTTGGATATATACACAAAGGTAGTTTATTCAATCATATTTAATTTTTAAGTAACTTCCACACCATTTGCCATATCACTTGCAACATTTTATAAGTCTACCAAAAGTACATGTAAGTTTCAATTTCTCTACATTCTCATTGACACATTATTATTTTTTCTTTTTTTTTTTTAGTATTTGTTGCTTTTAGCTATCCTAATAGGTATGACATGGTTGGTATCTCACTGTGGTTCTGATCACTATTTCAAGCGATCAATGATGTTGAGCATCTTTTCATATGCTTGTTGACCATTTGTATACTATCTTTGGAGAATCTATTCAAGTTCCTTGCCAGCTTTGTAACTTTTATTTGATATTTTTTGCTTTATCAGGGTGCTTTTAACTCTGAATATTAGCACATTATCAGATATATGGTTTGAAAATGTTTTTTCACTCCGTAAGTTGTATTTTCACTCCATTAACTTATTGTCTTTTGATGCACAAAAGTTTTTAAGTTTGATGAGTACTGTTTTTCTTTATTCTGTTGCCAGTGTTTTGATGTGCTATCAAGGAATCACTGTAAAATCCAATAGCAAAAAACTTTTCTCTATATTTTCTTCCAATAGTTCTACAGCTTTGATTCTCCTGTTTTAGTGTTTTAAAACATTTTAAGATTTATTCACTTTGGAGCCTGCATTGTGACATGGCAAACAAAGCTGCTGTCTGGGAAGCTAGCACCCCACATAGGTGCCAGTTCAAGTTCTGGCTGCTTCACTTCCTATTCAGGTCACTGCTAATGGTCTGGGAAAAGCAGCAGAACATGGCCCCAGTGCTTCAGCCCCTGACACCCAGAAGAACTTTCTGGCTCTTGGTTTCAACTTGCCCCAGCCCCACAGAGGCCATCTGGGAAATGAGTGAACCAGCAGATGGAAGATTCTCCTTCTGTTTCTTCCTCTAACTATGACGTTTAAATAAATTTTTAAAAAAGATTTATGTACTTTAATTTTATTTGAAAGGCAGGGAGATAGAAAGAGGTATCTTTCATCTACTAGTTCACTCCCCAAGTGCCCACAATTGCCTTGTAGTGTGTTTGGCTTTGATATCAGGGTAATATCGGCATCACAGATAAGCCTGGAGGTGTTTCTTCCTGTCCAATTTTGGGAAGACTTTCAAGAAGGACTGTAATCAATTATTTTTAAATGTTTGGTAGATGTCCTAGTGAAGCCATATGGCCCTGAGGTTTTTTAAATTGGGAAAATTTAAAATACTGACTCAATCTCCCTACTTATTATGAGTGTCTTCAGATTATGTTTCTTGCTGCTTCAGTCTTGGTAGATTGTATATTTCTAGGAGTTTGTTATTTATTCTAGGTCTTTCAATTTGTTAGCATATAATTGTATCCTATTATAACTTTTTTTAAAAAAATCCCATGGCATTGGTTGTAATGTCCTTTCTTTCACTTCATTTTGTAAGATTCTTGAAAGCTATTTTTTATGTGAAAGACAGAGTATTTCATTTCTTATTTTAGTCCTCATTGTTTTTCTGTAGTAAATCTAAGGTTTTCCTGATTTTGTTGATCTTTTCGATAACTCCTTCTTAATCTTATTGATTTTAAAACTGCTTTTCCATTCTCAACTCAGTTTGTTACTGTTCAAATCTTTATTGTCGTCTCCCTCATGCCAGCTTTGGGTTTACTCTGTGCTTATTTTTCTATTATCTTAAAAGATGAAGGTAGATTGTTTATTTAAGGTATTTCTTCTCATTTCATATGTGAATTAATTCGAAGCCATAAGACTCCTTCTTAGCATGACTTTCACTGATCCCCTAAATTTTAGTATGCCACATTTTCATTTTCACTTGTTTTGAGGTATTTTCTAATTTCTCTTGTGACTTTTTCTTTGATTTATTAGTTGTTTAAGACCGTTTCAATTTCCACATATTTGTAGATTTTCGTATTTTAATTGTGCTGTTAATTTCTGGTTTCCTTCCATTGTGTTTAGAAAAAGATACATTGTTGTATTTCAATCTTTTTTTTAATTTTCACAACTTCTTTATGACCTATCATGTGTTTAGCCTGTCCTGGAGAATGTTCCAGGTACTTGAGAAGAATGTAAATTCTGCTATTTTGGGGTGACTCCACCCAACAAAAGGTTCTGTATATGCCTATTATGTCTATTATGTTTAAGGTGTCATTTAAGTCTTCCATATACTCATTGGCTTTCTGTCTGGTTTTGCTAGCCATTACTGAAAGAGGATATGAAGGTATCATATTATTGTTTTACTTTATATGTCTTTCTTTAATTTTGTCAAAGTTTGCTTTGAATATTTAGAAATTCTGAGGTTTGTTCAATACAGATTTGTAATTATTTTATCCTCTTAGACCTCTTAGTGAATTGATGATTTATCACTTTATAATGCCTTTCTTTATTTCTTGTAACTTTTTGACTCATAGTCTATTCTGGCTGATATTACTATACTTACTCCTGTTCCTTTTTGGTAACTATTTTCATGGACTATCTTTTCCAACTTTTCATTTTCAGTAGATAATAAGATCTTACTATGTTAATTCAGAAAACGCCATAGACAGAGGTGTTATAAATCTCCCAGTCACAATGTAGTAGCCCAGTCTGGTTTGCCAAAACAGATTCCTGGGCATGGATACTAAGAATGGATTATCATAGGCTGAATGCCAGGAAAACTTCAGTGGAGAGCCAAAGAAGCATTCTTGGTATAGCTAAGCAAAAAAATCTAGCCCTGGTAGAACCCATTAGTAAAAGGAAGGCCCAACAGCTGAGAGGCCTCTAGATATACTGCAGGCAACATATAACTCTTTCTAGGTGTTCTCTCAGCCTTCTTAGGCTAGGTGACCAGTAAAGTCATACACCTTGAATGACATACTTTGCAGCAGAAAATCCTGGAAACTGCTCAACAAAGCATGCCCAACACTGTCTTGGAAACATTTTAGGCCTCCTAGCACAAAGGGACTACAGGTATCCACAAACTTGCTGCAGGGTGACTGGAATCTATGAGTAGAAATTGCCACCACAGTATATAACCCTCTCAGATTTTGAACACACAATTTTCCTGAGGCAGCCATCAGGAATGGTAACTTTTGAATGGTAGCTCCTAGCTTGCCTTTAGGCACTGGCAGAAACTTGAGTGACTTATGGCCAGTGTGCCGCATATAATGCTATGAAATAAAGTGCCCACTCAAACTTAGATTGCCTATAAATCCCACCAACAAAGTTGGACACGTTTAATATAACTCAAATATCAAATGAAACTAGTACATTAAGAGATTGGGCCTCATTGAGATGACAAGAAATCAACAGGCTCCATGAAGAATGGCTAGCTTACCAAAAAAAATACCAAATAACCTGTAGTGGATGATTTGCTTCTCTCACTGGAGCCCAAGATTTAGAGATGTGCCCATGATAGTATGGCATAGTATGCTATCGACTGTAAAACCACAAGCAGGCAGACCCAATAGGTTGTGGCGTCATCTGGCTGGCAGATGGTCATTTTTGGACTGAGACTGCATATGGACATTCTGTATATTGGGTAAAATCACATGAAGTGTGATAACCATGCCAGGCACCCCATGACCATATCTTGCTAGATTTTTATCACTTCACAGGCTACCATCAATATCCAAGTTATCAGGTCAAGAAAATGGCAACTAAATAACTAAACTATTAAGGGAGCCTCTGTGGGACAATATGTTTAAACTAGAAATTAAGTTAAGAGGTCAATGTGCAATATCAGGGTTCAAAATCTCACACTAAGCCTTAACTCCAGCTTCCCTCCAAGGCAGACCCAGGTACACAGTGTAATTGGGTTCCTGCCACCTATGTTGGAGACCCATTTTAATTTCTTGGTTCCTGGCTTCAGCCTCATCCTAGCCCCAGATATTTCAGGCATCTGGGGAGTGAACCAGCATCTCTTCTTATTTCTCTTCCTGTCTCTATCTAACTCTTTTCTCTGCCTTTACAGTGAATACTTTTTAAAATATTTTATTTATTTCTTTTAAAGGCAGAGTTACAGAGAGAGGAGAAAGACAGAGAGAGATCTTCCATCTACTGGTTCATTACACAAATGGCTGCAATGGCCAAGGCTAGGCCAGGCCAAGGGCAGGATCCAGAAACTTCCTCTGGGTCTCCCACGTGGGTGGCAGGGGCCCCAAGGACTCAAGCCATCCTCTGCAACATTCCCAAATGCATTATCAGGCAGCTGGATCAGAAGTGGGGCAGGCAGGACTTGAAGCAGCACCCATATGGGATGCTGGCATTGTAGATGGTGGCTTAACCCATTGCACCACAGTGTTGGCCCTTAAAACTGAATACTTTTTTAAAAAAGTATAAAAAGGGGCCTGTTGCTATGGCATAGCTAGTTAAGCTACCATATGTGACACCAGCATCCCATGCCACAATAGGTTGAGTAATGGATACTTCACTTCCCATTCAGTTTTTTGCTACTGCTTCTGAAAAGGCAGTGTTGGATGGCCCAAGTCTTTGGGTCCCTGCCACCCATTTTGGAGACCCGGTTGGAGCTCTTGGCTCCTGGCTTTAGCCTGGCCCAGACCTGGATATTTTAAAATTACAAAAATAAATCTCCTATATTGGAAGCAGTAGCTGGCTGCCTGGAAGTGACACCTACACATCACTTGTGTAGACACTGGGATTCCTATAGCTGCCCTTGAGAGGATCTTATGTTGTGTTTTTGGAGATACTGCATGACCTCACTCTGAACAAGGAACATCCTTCACTGCCTTGATAAGTAACAACAGGCACACACTTTCGAAATACAATGGACTTTCCATGGAACTGTCATCCACAGGCTAGTGAAACTATTAAACAGTGTAACTGCTAACTCACAAAGCAACATAAAGATGGCCTACTAAAAAGATGGTATACCCATCTGACTAAGGAAGTGTACACACTAAACTCAAAAGAAACACAGCATTTGTGGTGCAGGTTGAGAAATACACTAAGGTGGAGGTGAACCAAACAACATGATTAACTTGTCAATGAAAAATTCAAATATATTTCTAACTACTGGTTTTCCTTTCTTTACAGGGTGCACATTCTTAGGCCAACTTAGTATTCCAGAGAAGTCTCCCTAAATCTAATTTAGAAGCAGTGGTTCCCTTAGGTCTCTCCCCTTCTACAATATCCCACAGAGGTAGGGGATGGAACCAACAAATAACAAGATACTAGGAATCCCTTTAGTGGTGCTGTGGGCATTTGATCCTTCCAGTCAGGTAGACAGGGTTATCGTACATGTCAACAGACATTAGCTCTATTCCTAGACTGTACAACCATGATCAAAGGGAAAATAAGTGCCCACAAAGGAGGTGACCTTAGGGACTGACCGACTGAACTGTTGCACTTATTCCAACCTCTATCCAATAGGTTGAGAACACTTGGGACCCCAAGAGGAATGCAAAGTGGGGCATTAACTTGCCAATCTACTTTCACAAGGATTGGCAATAGAAACCTGGAAGACACAGCACCTTCATTAGGCTCTCCCAGGCTGTGATCACCTCAAGTAACCTCAAAACATACTGGATCTGTTATTCTGGACTATTCTGTCACAGACCACAAGAACTCTCTTATCCTGCCATGATAAACTATACCAGTATTCCTAATGCCACATCCCAAGCCCTGACTTAACCAACTATGGATGTGGGTACTCATCACATGAAAGATTCCAGAGGTGCCCTGTTTAAATCTAACTGGCCTAAGGTGGCAAAGCATCATAACCACAATTAATGAAGCTTTAGTGCAGTAGCACCTTCATGCACCACATTTTTGACTGCACAGATAATCAATGATGAAAACAAGGAATGGACATGTTCTAGCCCTCTGTACAAAAACTTCATCAATATTGCATGAGGAAAACTTATTTCAAGCAACTATAACACTAATGACACTTGGATGGCAAATATTAATGCCTCCATACCCATAAATAGCTAACTGAATCATAAAACAAGTTAAGGGTATACTGTGTTCACTCCAGGACTACATCTTTCTTTACAGGTGGTCTAGGGTGACTCAAAAAGGGACTGGGCAAAGTCATGCCTGGAAAGCTGATGAATGCTGTGTTCCTACTTGTTGGGCATGTTAGGAGATTCTCTGAATACTAACCTTTGAAATGAGATTCACTAGTAAGCCAACAGTCTAAAGCTAGGTATCAGTTTTACTAGAGACCTGCCAGAATATGTAATTGACTCTGGGTTTATGTGTTTTATGATATCTTTGGTATTATACATAGGAGTCAGTGTCTATGAAAAAGGAAGGGAGGAAGGAAGGGAGGGAGGGAGAGAGGGAAGGAAAGGAAGGGAGAGGAAAGAGGAGAAAGAAAAGAAAGGGAAGGGAGGGGAGGGGGGAAGGGAAGGGAGGGGAGAGAAGGAGGGAGGAAGGGAAGAAGGAAGGAAGAAAGGAAACTGTCCCTGACTATGGCACATACTACTTTCTTCACTGTCATTGCCAGCAGACATCCCTCAACTCCCTAAAAAAATGTGTGAGATAACAGAACTTCTCTATACTTTGTTGTAGACCAACGGAGAAGAGTATGTATAGTTTCTGGCTCCTCCTATTATACCTACAGAAATATCTCTAGCACTTAATAAAGACACAGAAAAGATAATCATAAGCAGATCGAGAGGTTGCAAACAATGGGGCCACCTGAAGGATCCTTCCTTGACCTCTTTAGCAAGTTCTTACATAAAATTTCTAGGATCTAGGCTGGGCTAATGCTCCAGGCAGGCCTGACCATCATGCTTGTGGTAGTAGTTCCCTTGGTTCTAGTGAAAAGTATGGTGTCACTGATACTGTAACACTGATCTGATGAGACAAACCTCTTCCTGAACATCCAGGGAAGCTGTGGACATATGAAATGGATTAGATTTCCCAAAGGAGATAACTGAATAACAGAATGGGATACAAAAATGTTCACATGACCTTGGGCTGATTCAGCTCACTGCCCTGCCCCCCTTATAACACCCCCACTTTCTTGCTTATAGATTCAATACCTTTAGAATGTTCTGGGAATGCAAATCCTAAGCTATGAAGGGAATGGCTGGAACAGCCTGAGCTCTGTACCTAGAAGCAGTACATTCTGAGGGTCTAGGGCCTTGTAAACCTTTTATGATCTCATACTTTCCTTGGTACCTGCCTGTGGAGCTGCCACTTTGTTGTGCTGTGGTTCTCTATTCTGTTTCCAATGGATTCCAAACTCCGCAGCTGGTCCATTAATGCTCTGACTCAAGACAGAAATAAGTCCCTCAAACAAACCCAACATAAAGCAAACAGTTGAACACTTGGGCCTAGTCTTTGTTTCCATTCTGACAGAGGCTCCTCAGTGTGAGATTTTTCTCCTAGTTTTGCATGCTATGCAATGCAGATGGAAAGATACAGAGAGGAACATAAAATTCTGTGAATTTCCCTACATCTTTCAATGGAATTCATTATCGGTTTTACACTGATCCAGGGTCTAGAAGTTCTTAACTGGTCTCTAGCATTTTCCAAGAGATATTCCAGTTCATATATCATTTTTTTAAGATTTATTTATTTGAGAGGTAGAGTTACAGACAGAGGGAGGGAGAGACAGACAGAAAGGTCTTCCATCTGCTTTCCCAGGCCATACCAGAGAGCCGGATTAGATGAAGAGCAACTGGGACACGACCCAGCACCCATATGGGATGCTGGTAATATAGGTGGAGGCTTAGCCCACTATGCCACAGCACTGCCCCCCCCCCATATAACATTGTTAACTAAATGCATTTGGAGGAAAATGAGGGCCTGTAGCTCCTAATGTACCATCATTTTTATATCCTCCTTTTTAAACTTTTTCTATATTAAGTGTATTAACTCTGCATTTGTAATATGCCTGGGAGACTCCTGGTAGATACTGTGAGTTCAGTTCCAGACTACCTCAGTAAAGTGAGTGTGGGGTGGACATTATTACACAATGGGTTCAGCTTCTGCCAGAGACACACTCATCCCATATTTCAGTGCCTGGAATCAAGTCCCACCTCCACTTCCAATCCAGTTTCCTGCAAATGTACCTTGGAAAGAGCAGATGATGGATGCAAGTACTTGGATTCCTGCCACTCACATGGGAGACTCAGATGGAGTTCCTGGTAAATGAGCACGGGCTTCAAGTCAAAGTCACCATGTGATAAATCTTTATTAAGGAGGTCAGACTATCGTTTGAAGTTTTGATACCAATCACTGACTTCTCCTCTGTATCTATGAAATTTCCAGATGGCAAGTTCTTCCAATATAAGGCTGTTTTGTTGACACTGAATATCTGTTGTTTCATACACCCACCGTCATCAATTATCTTAGCTAGACCTTCTGGATAACTTGCTGCTTCACCTTGCACTTTTATATTAATAGAGAGGTCCTCTTTCATTAAACATCATGAACCAAACTTTGCCTCAATCTTTTCTTTTTTCAGCTTCCTCACCTCTCCTAGCTTTCATAGGATTAAAAAGAGCTAGGACCTTGCTCTAGATCAGGCTGAAGCTGAAGGCAAAAGTTGTGCTGGTAGATCTATTCCAGACACTAAAACTTCCTCCATATCAGCAATAAGGCTATTTGACTTTCTTTATCGAGTGTTCACTAAAATAGCATTTTCAATTTTCTTCAAGAATTTTTCCATTGCATTCACAACGCTGATGTGCCCTCCTCATTAATTTAATCATTTCTAAACCTTTAATTTAAAGTGAAAGATATGTGACTCTTCCTTTTACTTGAAAACTACCATTATGGAAGCATAATTCCAATATTATTGGGACTCAAGGAATAGGGAGACCACTGAAGAAGGAGATAGAGAAACAAAAACAGTTGTTCAGTGAAGAATTCAGAGCACACACAATATTTTTCAATGAAGTTACCCATCTTAAAGGGGCATGGTACATGTTGCCCTCTCCCAGATTTCAGTACGAACATCAAAGATGTTCACCATACAATGTAATGATAATGAAAACACTGAAATTTATTTCTTTTAACCTATATATGTTTTATCTATTATATATTTCTTATTTTTATTTCTATGGGGTAAGACTCAGTTTTACCTTTTTTGTCCCCATGGAATTTTCCAGTTTCCCAAAACTGTTTGTGAAAAAAAGACTATTACATCCTCACAATTTATTAGGCTACATTATCACACGTAGAATTCCTATAGTAATTCAGTTTCAATTTGTTAATTTGGGTGATCTGTCCATTCATTTGCTAATACCATACTACATCAATTATTTTAGTTATTGCAGGTAGAACTCAGCTATTTGGGACAAGACATATAATGAAAATAAAAGTTCCTGATAAATGAAAATACAAAACCATCATGTAAGCTTGTGGAAACTAAGGTTCTGTTGGGGTCTTCCTCCCCATTATTAGAGAGATAATCATACTTTAAAGCCTCCAGGAGCAAATTTGACAACATGAAAAACAATCCAAAAAGAATGAGTACTAGAAATTATCCTAATTTGATGAGTAAACTTGCATTTTAAATAAGTGAAGTTTCCAGTTAACTGAAGTCTTTGTCCATTTGAAATTTTTAGCATATCATTTTCAAAAAAATGTTGTGAGAAATTAAAATGAGGTATAGCTATATATTTTTGTTATTTAGTAATCTGAGAAGTTTAAAGATCTTTTAAATGTTTCTGTTGAGGACACTATCACTATGAATTGAAATCTAGAAAGATACTAACTTCCAGATTACTAGCAGTGTTCTAATGCAGATTCAAAGTCTATTTTGTCAAGGCCAGTGTTGTTGTGCAGTGGGTTAAGTCACTGCCTTTGACTCTGGCATCCCATGTAAGCCTCAGCTGTAGTCTCAGCTGTACCAGTTCCAATCCAGCTCACTGCCAATGTAGAAAATGGCCCAATTACTTGGAGCCACTCTCACCCATATAAGAGACCTTGAACTGAATTCGTGGCTTCTAGATCTCTGCCTGGGCTAGCCTCAGTTGTTGGGGCCATTTGGAGAATGAAACAGTGGACAGAAGGTCGGTCTCTCTCTCTCTTACTTTGAATGTGTGTGTCCACCCTTCTCTTTTTAACTCTTTCAAATAAAATAAAGAATTTTAAAATGTCTATTTGTCTTTTTCCTTGTACTTTTTATCCATACATTAGACTACAAATTATGTAGCAGATACTGCTATGAACATATTCATTCACTCAAGACTTACAATATGTAAGATGGTCACTCAGAAGAAACTGAGGCATAGAAAATTCAAATTCAAATAGGTCATATATTAGTAACAATTGAAGCTAAGATTCAAATGGAAAAGAACTCTTGGTCTGTGTTTTTCACTACTACATTATAATAAACATCTGTCTAAAATATTTATATTGAATCTACTAAAAATACATTGGGTTTTCCTGGACCCTAACATTGTTCTACATATAAGAGACTAGTAGAAAATAAAAGAGAGTCCCCTACCTTCACTGAACTTATATTTAGTCAGAAATCTGACAATTAACCAGGATAAAGAAATAACTGTCATGATGAAAATAAGATGATGATTTAATAGTAAGCAACTCATACAAGTTAGAACAGGCACATCTTCTTGATATAAAGTGGCCAAAGACATTCAGCTAAACCTTGAAAGGTCAGAATATGGCAGCAGTATGAATAGGTAGGGGAAGAGCTCTCTACACAAAAACAACAGTCAGTGCCTCAGTCATAAGGCAGGAGAGAGAATGGCACATTCTTTGGTTGAAGAATGAGATGGGGTTAGAGAAGTAGCCTGATTAGTAAGCATACTGAATCCTGCAGAGTCTTGTAAGCCACAGTAAGTGGAATGCATATTTAATGATAGGCTACCATGGAAAGCGTTTTAAGCAAGAGAGAGACAAAGTACAAGTTACTTGGAGCTCTCTGAGGGGAGCTCCAAGATGGCAGAATAGGGAGGGAGCACACTAATAGTCTGGGAAAAGACAGTTTAATAAAAATGGAGATACTGCAGGTTCAGGGAAGAGTTAGGGAAAAAACAGCAGAGAAAACTCTTGCAGAACTAGTGGGACATGGTGGACCTACATGGAGGACACAGGCGCCCAAGGCTCAGGACCCCAGCTGCCGAATCTACACACCAACGCTGGAAAGGGAAGGGAGGATAACCTTAGTAGCCCAACACTGGAGAGAAAGTGGAAGGAAGAGCCTATAGGGGGCCGGCGCCATGGCTCACTAGGCTAATCCTCCGCCTTGCGGCGCTGGCACACCAGGTTCTAGTCCCGGTCGGGGCGCGGGATTCTGTCCCGGTTGCCCCTCTTCCAGGCCAGCTCTCTGCTGTGGCCAGGGAGTGCAGTGGAGGATGGCCCAAGTCCTTGAGCCCTGCACCCCATGGGAGACCAGGATAAGTACCTGGCTCCTACCATCAGATCAGTGCAGTGCGCCAGCCGCAGCGCACCGACCACAGTGGCCATTGGAGAGTGAACCAACGACAAAGGAAGACCTCTCTGTCTCTCTCTCTCAAAGTCCACTCTGCCTGTCAAAAAAAAAAAAAAGAGCCTATAGGGAAGGAGGCTTGAAGCCCCGTGGGGGGAAGTTCACCAGACTAACTAGAGGAGAGAAAAAATAAATAAATAAATAAATAAATAAATAAAGGGGACTGGTATGGACACGATTTTCTCTCTCCAATCACCTTACAAAGGCGAGCAAGACAAAGAGCAGGCACCATTTTGGTCATACGTAAAAGCTGCACCCACCATGAGCCAAGCAGAAAAACCTGACTCTGGTGGGGAGAAATAACAGGAGGTTAGGACCTAGTGAATATGTGGAGCTAACAAAATGAGACTGTGAAAGAAGGAGTGAGGGTGTGTGAGAGGGCTCACTGAGTACCCAAGACATGAGTGCTCTTAGGAGAGGCTGCAAACTCGGTAACCTTGGCAACCCAGTGGGAGACACTGCAAGGGAATTTGAGCTTACACTGAGGACTGCACAAATCCTTTGTGTGGTCCTTGGGACAGAGCAGATGAATATTATACCCACCGGGGCCAGAGCTCAGACACTAATAGCCTTCAATTACCCTCAGCTATGGGGAATTACGACCCTTCTGAATAAAAAAAGAGAGAGAGAGAGAGAGAGGAGATTTACCACACCTAACCTGGGTGTGTCACTTTTGGCACACCATTAACCCTGAAGAACTGAACAGAGCTCACTGACCACACGTATCATAGCCTCTAAGGATCCATCAAAACCAGACAGTCCACTTAACATAGTCATAGTTAATGAGAACAACCACCACAGCGAGGGAAAAAAAAATAAAAAGAAGAAGAAACCAAATAATATCTCCACAAAGCCAAGCAACAAACACAGAAACTGAGGAAAAACAAGGAAGACATTATGATGCCCCAAATGAACAAGACACCCCAAACCAAGATTATGAATTGATGATGAGATAGAATAAATCCAAGATACGGATTTCAAAAAATTTATAAGAACATTTATAAGTTTTCAAAAACAAATTCTTGAACTACAGAAATCCTTACTGGACAGGATAGAAAATCTCTCTCACGAAAATGAAATCTTAAGGAGCAATCAAAATAAAATGCAGAAACTAACAACATGAAATTGTGACAGTGAAGAGAAATCAAAATGAAATGAAGAATTCAATAGATTAAATGACAAACACATTAGAGAGCCTTAAAAACAGAGTCAGTGAAGTAGAAGAGGGAAATGCAAATCAAAACCACAATGAGGTTTCACCTCACCCCCGTTAGAATGGCTCACATACAGAAATCTACCAACAACAGATGCTGGCGAGGATGTGGGGAAAAAGGGACACTAACCCACTGTTGGTGGGAATGCAAACTGGTTAAGCCACTATGGAAGGCAGTCTGGAGATGCCTCAGAAACCTGAATATCACCCTACCATACAACCCAGCCATACCACTCCTTGGAATTTACCGAAAGGAAATTAAATTGGCAAACAAACAAGCTGTCTGCACCTTAATGTTTATTGCAGCTCAATTCACAATAGCTAAGACCTGGAACCAATCCAACCGGGGTGAGGTGAAACCTCATTGTGGTTTTGATTTGCATTTCCCTGATTGCTAGTGATCCTGAACATTTTCTTTATGTGTCTGTTGGCCATTTGGATTGCCTCTTTTGAAAAATGTCTATTGAGATCCTTGGCCCATCTCTTAAGTGGGTTGTTTGTTTTGATGTTGTGGAGTTTCTTGATTTCTTTGTAGATTCTTGTTATCAACCCTTTATCTGTTGCATAGTTTGCACATATTTTTTCCCATTCTGTCGGTTGCCTCTTCACTTTCTTGACTGTTTCTTTTGCAGTAAAGAAACTTCTCAATTTGATGCAATCCCAAATGTTAATTTTGGCTTTACCTGCCTGTGCTTCTGGGGTCTTTTCCAAGAAGTCTTTGCCAGTACCTATATGTTGCAGAGTTTTTCCAATGCTCTCTAATAATTTGATGGTGTCGAGTTGTAGATTTAAGTCTTTAATCCATGTTGAGTGAGTTTTTGTGTAAGGTGAAAGGTAGGGGTCTTGCTTCATGATTCTGCATGTGGAAATCCAGTTTTCCCAGCACCATTTATTGAATAGACTGTCCTTACTCGAGGGATTGGTTTTGGATCCTTGATCAAATATAAGTTGGCTGTAGATGTTTGGATTGATTTCTGGTGTTTCTATTCTGTTCCATTGATCTATCCATCTGTTCTGTATCAGTACCATGCTGTTTTGATAACAACTGCCCTGTAGTATGTCCTGAAATCTGGTATTGTGATGCCTCCGGCTTTGTTTTTTGTTGTACAAGATTGCTTCAGCTATTCGAGGTCTCCTGTGTCTCCATATGAATTTCAGCATCATTTTTTCCAGGTCTGAGAAGAAGGTCTTCAGTATTTTGATTGGTATTGCATTGAATCTATAAATTGCTTCTGGGAGAATGGACATTTTGATGATATTGATTATTCTAATCCATGAGCATGGAAGATTTTTCCATTTTTTGGTATCCTCTTCTATTTGTTTCTTTAAGTTTTTGTAATTTTCATCGTAGAGATCCTTAATGTCCTTGGTTAAGTTTATTGCAAGGTATTTGATTGTTTCTGTAGCTATTTTGAATGGGATTGATCTTAGAAGTTCTTCCTCAGCCATGGCATTGCCTGTGTATACAAAGGCTGTTGATTTTTGTGCATTGATTTTATATCCTGCTACTTTTCAAAACTCTTTCTATGAGTTCCAATAGTCTCTTAGTAGAGTTCTTTGGGTCCCCTAAATAAAGAATCATATCATCTGCAAAAAGGGATCGTTTGAGTTCTTCCTTCCCAATTTGTATCCCTTTAATTTCTTTTTCTTGCCTAATGGCTCTGGCTAGAACTTCAAGAACTATGTTGAATAGCAGTGGTGAGAGTGGGCATCCCTGTCTGGTACCAGATCTCAGTGGAAATGCTTCCAACTTTTCCCCATTCAATAGGATGTTGGCCGTGGGTTTTTCATAAATTGCTTTGATTATATTGAGGAATGTTCCTTCCAAACCCAGTTTGCTTAGAGTTTTCATCATGAAAGGGTGTTGTATTTTTATCAAAAGCTTTCTTTGCCTCTATTGAGATAATCATATGATTTTTCTTCTGCAGTCTGTTAATGTGGTGTATCACGTTGACTCTTTTGCGCACATTGAGCCATCCCTGCATACCAGGGATAAATCCCACTTGGTCTGGGTGGATGATCTTTCTGATGTGTTTTGCATTCTTTCGGCCAGAATTTTATTGAGGATTTTTGCATCTATGTTCATCAGGGATATCGGTCTGTAATTCTCTTTCAGTGCTGCATCTTTTTCCAGCTTAGGAATTAAGGTGATGCTGGCTTCATAAAAAGAATTTGGGAGGATTCCCTCTTTTTCAATTGTTCTGAATACTTTGAGAAGGATTGGAGTCAGTTCTTCTTTAAATATTTGGTAGAATTCAGCAGTGAATCCATTTGATCCTGGGCTTTTCTTTGTTGGGAGGGCCTTTATTACTGTTTCAATTTCTGTCTCAGTTATGGGTCTGTTTAGGTTTTTGATGTCTTCCTGGTTCAATTTAGGTAGGTTGCATGTGTCCAGGAATCTATCCATTTCTGATAGGTTTCCCTGTTTGCTGGCATACAAGTCCTTGTAGTAATTTCTGATGATTCTTTTTATTTCTGTGGTGTCTGTTGTTATGTTTCCTTTTTCATCTCTGATTTTATTGATTTGGGTCTTTTCTCTTCTTCTTTTAGTTAGTTGGGCCAATGGGGTATCAATTTTGTTTATTTTTTCAAAACACCAGCTCCTCGTTTGGCTGATTTTTTGTAATTTTTTTTGGATTCAATCCTGTTGATTTCTTCTCTGATTTTAATTATTTCTCTTCTCCTACTAGATTTGGGTCTGGTTTGCTGCAGTTTTTCTAGATCCTTGAGATGCGTTGAAAGCTCATCTATTTGGTGCCTTTCCAATTTCTTGATGTAGGCACCTATTGATATAAACTTTCCTCTTAACACTGCTTTTGCTGCATCCCATAAGTTTTGGTATGTTGTGCTGTTATCCTCATTTACTTCCAGATGGTTTTTGATTTCTCTTTTGATTTCTTCTATGACCCATTGTTCATTCAGGAGCATGTTGTTCAATCTCCATGTGTTTGCGTATGCTCTAGGGATGCCTGAGTTGCTAATTTCCAACTTCATTCCTTTATGGTCTGAGAAGCTGCATGGTATGATTCTAATTCTTTTGAATTTGCTGAGACTTGCTTTATGGCCTAGCATGTGGTCAATCCTAGAGAAGGTTCCATGTACTGCTGAGAAGAATGTAAAATCTTTATATGTAGGATGAAAAATTCTGTAGATATCTGTTAGATCCATTTGGGCTATAGTGTCATTTAAATCTACTGTATCCTTGTTGATCTTCTGTCCTGTTGATCTGTCTATTTCTGAGAGTGGAGTCTTGAAATCTCCCAGTACTACTGTATTGGAATCTAAGTCTCCCTTTAAGTCCGTTAACAAATCTTTTAAATAAACTTGTGCCCTGTAATTAGGTGCATATACATTCATAATCGTTATATCTTCCTGTTGAATTGATCCCTTAATCATTATATAGTGTCCCTCTTTGTCTCTCTTAACAGTTTTTGTGTTAAAGTTTATGTTGTCCGATATTAAGATGGCTACGCCTGCTCTTTTTTCATTTCTGTTGGCATGGTATATCTTTTTCAAGCCTTTCACTTTCAGTCTGTATGGATCTTTGTTGGAAAGATGTGTTTCTTGTAAGCAGCAAATAGATGAATTTTGTTCCTTATGCCAATCAGCCAATCGGTGTCTTTTAACTGGACAGTTCAAGCCATTAACATTCAATGTGACTATTGATAAGTGGTAACTTTGTCCTGCCATTTTCCAAAGACATTTTCTAATATATGCTTTGAATTCCCTGTGATCTTTTGCTGTGAGGTTTCCTTCCTTTACCTTCTTTCATATTGATGACCATGTTTCTGTGTGTAACACATCTTTAAGCATCTCTTGCAGGACCAGACGAGTGGCGGCAAACTCTTTCAATTTCTGTTTGCTATGAAAGGTCTTTATTTTACCTTCGTTCACAAATGAGAGCTTTGCAGGATATAATATTCTGGGCTGGCAATTTTTCTCTCTTAGCACCTGTGCTATGTCTCGCCATTCCCTTCTAGCTTGTAGGGTTTATGAAGAGAAGCCTGCTGTGAGTCTAATTGGAGATCCTCTGAAAGTAATCTGACGTTTCTCTCTTGTACATTTTAGAATCTTTTCTTTCTGTTTCACTGTGGTGAGTTTAATTACAACCTGTCATGCTGAGGATCTCTTTTGGTCATGTTTACTAGAGGTTCTATGAGCTTCCTGTACTAGGATGTCTCTGTCCTTCTCCAAACCTGGGAAATTTTCTGCTAGTATCTCACTAAAAAGGCATTCTAATCCTTTCTCCCTTTTCATTCCTTCAGGAACTCCTAGAACCCGAATGTTGGGTTTTTTAATAGTATCCTGTAGATTCCCAACAATATTTTTTAGATTTCTAATTTCTTCTTCTTTTCTTTGGCTTGACTGTATCCTTTCCTGTTCTCTGTCTTCTAAGTCCGATATTCTCTCTTCTGCTTTACCCATTCTGTTTGTAAGGCTCTCTAATGTGTTTGTCATTTGATCTATTGAATTCTTCATTTCATTATGATTTCTCGTCACTATCACAGTTTCATGTTCTACTAGTTGTTTCATTTCATTTTGATTCCTCCTTAATATTTCATTTTCGTGAGAAGGATTTTCTATCTTGTCCATTAAGGATTTCTGTAGTTCAAGAATTTGTTTTTGAGAACTTCTTAATGTTCTTATCAATTTTTTGAGATCTGCTTCTTGTATTTCTTTTATCTCGTCATCTTCATAATCTTGAATTGGGGTGTCTTTTTCATTTGGGGGCATCATAGTGTTTTCCTTGTTCTTATTACTTCAGATTTTGCGTTTGTTATTTGGTATATTGGAGATATTTGGTTTCTTCACTGTGGTGTTTTTTCTTGTTATACTATGACTCTAAATTAAGTGGACTGTCTGTTTTTGATGGAGCCTTAGAGGCATGAGATGGGTGTGGCCTGAGAGCTCTGTTTGGTTCCTCAGGGTTAAGGGTATGCCAAAGGTGACACTCCCAGGTTAGGCGTGGTAAATCTCTCTCTCTTTCTTTCTTTTTTTTTGATTCAAAAGGGAAGTAATCCTGCAAAGCTGAACAGAATTGGAGGTAGTTAGCAGGCAACTGATATACCACAGGAGCCAGAGATCGGAAGCTCTTTCCCAAGGACCACACAGGGAATCTGTCCTGCCCTCAGTGTGGGCTCAAATTCTCCTGCAGTTTCTCACTGGGTTGCCAAGGTGACCGAATTTTAGCGTCTCTGGAGAGTACTCATGTGAATTCCGTGGGTTCTCTCCCCCACCGTCTCTTTTTTCAGTCTCAGTTCAGTAGCACCACACATTCACTAGGTCCTAATCTCCTGTTAATTCACCCCCCGACCCAGAGTTAGGTTTTTCTGCTAGGCTCAGGGCTGGTGCAGACCTGAGGTCGCCCTGCTTATGACGTATGTCCAAGATGGCACCTGCTCTTTGTCTTGCTCGCCTGTGAGAGGTGAGCGGAGAGAGAGAAACTCATGTCCGTATCGGTCACTTTTTTTCTCTCTCTCTCTCTCTTCTAGTTAGCCTGGTGAACTTTTACCCACGGGGTCGTTCCCTCTAGTCTCCTCTTTCTGCTTGCCTGCCATTGTCTCGAGCTACTGAGGTTCGGCTCACCTCGCGTTCCAGCGCTGGTGTGTTGAGTCTGCCACTGGTGTCCCAAACTGTGGGCTCCGACGCTCTCCACGCAGGTCCACCAAAGTCTTAACTCCAGAGACTGATGTTTGCTCAAGTTTTACTGCAGCAGTTTGAGCTTCTTCAATTTTCCTCCACCCCTTCCAGCGCTGGCGCGCAGACTCTGCGGCTCCTGCAGTTCCAGCGGCACCCACGGCTCATTTCTCAGCTTCTCAGGTGTTTGGCTTCCTCATCACAGAGCAACAAAGGATGAATAATCTGAGCAGATCATCTCTGAAGCCTGGATACAACTGTAACGTGCAGATCTCAACATGAGTGATTTAAAGACATTATGGTTTTCTTTACAAACAGATGTAGTTTTTTGTTTTTTGTTTGTTTGTTTGTTTGTTTTTTGACAGGCAGAGTAAACAGTGAGAGAGAGAGACAGAGAGGTCTTCCTTTGTCGTTGGTTCACTCTCCAATGGCCGCCACAGCCAGTGCACCACACTGATCCGATGGCAGGAGCCAGGTACTTATCCTGGTCTCCCATGGGGTGCAGGGCCCAAGTACCTGGGCCATCCTCCACTGCACTCCCGGGCACAGCAGAGAGCTGGCCTGGAAGAGGGGCAACCGGGACAGAATCCGGCGCCCCGACCAGGACTAGAACCCAGTGTGCTGGCGCCGCAAGGCGGAGGATTAGCCTAGTGAGCCACGGTGCCAGCCTATCGAAATAAACATAACTTTTAATTCTACTTTCCATGAACTTTTTGAAGCCTCCTCAAACAGTAACAGAAGACAACATTTCATAAAAGTTTTACAGTGAAATGATGATAAGTCATGATCATTAAATAAGGAATAATGAGAGATTAATAGGATTAGAATTCACTGATTAGAAGAGTGCCTCTTAGTGACTCTTGGCTGAATACTGAATTTGAGGAAGTAGGCTTGGATGTAAAAAGAAAAAAAAGAAGATTTGGCAACATGAGAAGGGCAGTAAAGAAAACAAATGTTGGTCTGGATATTTCTAGGAAAACAGTTAGGAGCTTCCATCCCACAATGAAAGAAGAGAGAAAAGGCAATGAAGAGTGGAGTAGCATTACATATAAGGTCAGATGTCACAGGCATCAAAGGAATCACAACAGAGTGGGCACAAGTGCTTCAGAGGGAATTCAAGCATCAGGTAAGTGGTTAAACTAGGTAACATTTTTTAAAGTGCCTTTCCACTCTGAAATTCTATTATCCTATAAATGTCAACACTTAAAGAAAAAATGATGTTATTACAGAATAAGTAGTTCAGAGTTAGTTGCTTCTGACCTGAAACTTTTTCAGAGCTATTCTACTTTATATTTCCTTTCATTTTCCTTCATAAATGTTTGTCTTTCTTTCTTCTAAATCTTTCTGATATTAATGAATTTGCTTCTGCTGACTTTATTCACCATATCTAACCTTTATTCACCTGTCATCCTTCTAATAGCACTACTATTTTTCCTCCCTGCCTCCTTCCCTTCCTTCCTCTCTCCCTCCATTCCTTTCTTCTTCTATTACCATCACCATCACCATCTCTTTCTTTCTTATACTTTATATTCTTTCACAAATACTTCTCCAAAAGACCTTAAATTGCAAAATTGTTGTGGTTATAGTTTTGGACTCTAATTGCCCAGTTCACAACAGCTAGCCCTGTGATCCTGAGCAATTTATATTAACTCATGGAGCCTCTGTTTTCTGCAGATAAAAAGGGAATGATGGTAGAATTAACCTCGTAGAGTTGTCTTGAAAATTAAATTATATAGAGCTTATAAAGCTCGTATCATGATGCTTAAGGAAATGTAATACTAGTAATTAGAGATTAGCCAATCTCTCTGCTAAAGGTGAATGGATGACTGTCATCTTCAGGTTTTCAGTTCCCATGGCTGTGCCATATGGAACTTCCCAAGATCTTCTGAGTTCACAGTAATTTTGAGAAGTCTACAGTACTCAATATCTGGATGCTTAATGGATTGGCTCTTGCAGAAAATTTTAAACACAAAAGAAATATAGAGGGAAGGAAACAAGCAAGGAAGAAAGGAAAGAAACAAAGGAAGGAAGCAAGGAATAAAGAAAAAAGAGACAAGGAGAAATAAAGAAAGAAAGAAGGAAAGAAGTGCAAGGAGGGAGAGAAGAAGGGAGAGGGAAGAGGGGGAGAGATGGAGGGGGGGGAGGGAGAAAGGGGGGAGAGGGGGAGGGGGGGAGGGAGAGCAGAAAAAAAGCGAGAGGGAGAGGAGGGAGAGGAGGGAGAGGAGGGAGAGGAAGGAGAGAGGGAGAGAGGGTGAGAGGGTGAGAGGGTGAGAGGGTGAGAGGGTGAGAGGGAGAGAGGGAGAGGGAGGATGTTTCCTTCATTTATCAAATCCTGAGTTTCATTTAAAACCAGACAGAGGCACACGAAGACAAGCCCTATGTTTGTGAAAGATTATCAACACAATCAATGCTTAGGAATTTTATACAGGCTTTTCAGAACTCCAGTACCTAGATTTTACCTGCATATTTATTCCTATCACTTCAAACCTAAACTAACTTCTGACTCCTGCCTACTGCATTTTTCTATTACACTTTCCCCATTTCTGCTATTCTGGTAACTGGCTGTCAATCTGTTCTCAATTTATTTTACTTTATATCCCCTAGGCTTGTCCCTCTGATATTTCTCCTATTTTCTGCTTCATGCATCCTGGCTTCTGTACTGACAACTTGCCTCTACGTTGGCCACTTGATATGATATAATGATACCAAAACTGAGAATATGAACCACATGACTAATATTGAGGGATTTGAGTAAAAGAGTCTGTGTCAATATCTCATTTATTTCTCATTCACAATGAGAAACCCCTTTCATTCAAATTATGATGAATAGGTGAGCATCTCCATCATTTCAATAGTTATGCTCCTTCAACCCTTGAAAAATTCCTTTTACAAATGTACTTCCTCATTTTCTGGGGAGTAACTCTGCACAAAGATTTCATTAAGCCAATTAAAAATAAAATAGGTAGAAGTCATGATATTCCACTCACCTAAGACAGTTTTTGTCTATTTATTGCATATTTATACAAATAAAAATAAATCTTCACTAGATAAAATAACTGTTTCTGTATATTAAGTAAAAAGTTCAAAATCAAAATACTATATTTCTATCTTTAAAATTTTTTGAACCTCCCTGATCAGTATTTGGTGGTAGTTGTGTTGGAGGCTATTATTATTGCTCTCATTATCAATATAATTTTCAGAATATAATTATTTCCTTAATAAAAGTGTTCCTTGATACTACTAGCATACACACATACACACACATATACACAGTGCAAAATATAGATCACATATAACTGTAATGACAGTAATAGTCACCTACCTATAGAATCATCTACCGATAACTTGCTCTGTACCAGGTATTATCTAAGCAATTAAATTATCCTATCTGCTCTGCAAGGTAATTGTTATTTTATCTAATTTGTAGATGAGTAAATAGATACCTTAGATTTTAATAAAGTAGCAGAGTTTAAAGCTTTCTGTTTATTTAGTTATAACTTATGTAGTAAGTAGGCTTTATAAAATATATGTTTATTTAATGAATTTATACAATATACATGTGTTTATTTACTAAGGCTTACCACACTCCATGCTAAAAATGTACTTATAGCCTTTAAAGTCAATGAATTTATCTAAATGACCATGAGAAAGTACAAGAAGAGAACAAGCGGAAACTTGTCACCTCTTAAATAATCTTTATCCATTTGTTCTTGACAGCCAACTTATAAAATAAGGTTATTTAATACTCTGAAATAAAGTCATAAAGTCTGAAGTATAACTGTCACTATATGCAAAGAAGCTAAGAAAAAAATCAAGAGGAAGAAATAAAAGATATACATATGTATACACACACACACACACACACACATGAAATGGTTGTGTGACAGAAGCAGTGTCGCTCCCCGTCTTCGTGGAGGAACGACACAGGACCCTGCGCTGTTCTTTTGTCTGCTCGGCCCTCCCCGGGTTGGCTGCTGGTTCTTCCCGGGTTGGCTGCTGTCCCTTCCACCTCCGTGGAAGGGCGGTGCCCCCTGCCACTTTCCCCACTTCCACGGGGGAGTGGCACACCACCGGCCGGCTCTCTCGGGGGCTGCTCAGGTGTTCCTCAGGTGTTCCCCTTAGATGTTCCTGGTGCATGTTGTCTCTCTCCTCCTTTATAGTCCTCTTCCACCAATCCCAACTCTGCTACCCACACGCCGAGTATGCTGCTCTCCTCCAATCAGGAGCAGGATCAGCTCCTGTAGGTTATTGGTCGAACTGGAGGCACCTGTGTAGAAGTTGTTTACTCCTCTCCCAGCGCCATATTGTGGGAGAGCAGATGCATAGAATAAGTCTTAATTCCAGTAACTTAGTCTAGTCCGAGTTGCTGCCCACAAAGCAGTGTATACCTAAATATAATTTTACATGGTAGCAGCGAACTTCAGTAGAATAAGAATATTAAAAACAAACATTGACCAGATGATCAATGAATAAAAATAAATGCTCTAATCTTGATGCTATTATAGAAAGTCAGGGCATTCATCATAAAAATTAAGAATAGGAGTCCAAGAGGGAGTGGGGAAGGGTTGGAATGTGGGCAGGAGGGAGGGGAAGCTCCGCTTTGTTCCTAAATCTGTATATATGAAATATATGAAACTAGTATAACTTGGTTTCTTCTTTTTAAGTATCTATTTTATAAAGAAAGGTTCACATATATATATAAATACAAAGCATTAAATCCTTTCCACAAACTCCTACTATTTTTATAGAAAATTTTTATTTAATAAATATAAATTTCAAAAGTACAACTTTTGGGGCCGGTGCCATGGTTCACTAGACTAATCGTACACCTGTGGCACCGGCACCCCAGGTTCTAGTCCAGGTTCAGGCACCAGATTCTGTCCCGGTTGCTCCTCTTCCAGTCCAGCTCTCTGCTGTGGCCCAGGAAGGCAGTGGAGGATGGCCCAAGTGCTGGGGCCATGTACCCACATGGGAGACCAGGAGGAAGCACCTGGCTCATGGCTTCGGATCGGTGCAGTGCGCCGGCCGTAGCGGCCATTTGGGGGGTTAACCAATGGAAGGAAGACCTTTCTCTCTCTCTCTCTAACTCTGCCTGTCCAAGAAAAAAAAAAAAAGTGGAACTTTTGGATTATAGCTGTTCTTCCCTCATAAACACCCTCCCACCTGCAAACCATCCCATCTCCTACTCTCTCTCCCATCCCATTCTTCATTAAGATTCATTTTTAATTATCTTTAGATACAGAAGATCAGCTCTATA